GGCCATTTTGTTTTCACTTGTATATCTCCTGATCTATTTTGAAAATTTGTACAGAAGTACTTTACTCATATATATTATTGTTTGATGTGTTTGTGTTTTTGTGACTTGATCAAATTCGTTCTTAAAATGGCAAAATTAGAAAATTAGACTCTACATAGTGTGTTATTTATTCACATCATTCATATCCCCTTATTAGCATATGTTACATTGTACCAGAAGTTTAACACTGGCAAAGTGGAAAGTTCATTCTCATTTTGAGTGTCTGTTGATTATTCAGGAAATCAATGTTTTGCCATTTAGTGCAAGTTCATGGCTGAGACGGTAACTTCAGTTTACTCTGCTTGATTCGTTGAGTCAGAATCCATACATCGGTTGATGAATGTGTCGAGATATCTTGCCATTTCAAGAGATTTTGCATCATTTTTTCAAAGTTTCAGGTTGTCTCTTTAATCTCGAAAATCTTTGCAACAAGTTCTCATTTCTGTCCACACTGCATGTAACTCCAAGTGACAAATTTTTCAGCATACTTGTTTTGATGGCATAGTAGCATGGTCATTTTGGTTCATTTTGAATACATTTATACAGGATTTTAGAGGTTGACCAGATACAAGTTGCATAAACATATATTGCAGTAGTAGTCAGGAGATAATCTTTCAGGGAGTTAAAGTGTCTTACTGCTGTGGATGCATCAAAATTTGACTAAATACCAACCACCAAATCTATTCGTCTCCTGACGGAACTTTAGAAAACATCTTGTTACTGATAAGGATGCTAATTAATTATTCAGTGTTTAAGTGTTTTTTTTTAAGGCTAAAGATTGAAATATTCAAACTTATAGTGAGAGGAAAAAGAATTGTCTAGCCAACATACACATCTTAGATTGGAAGCAAATGCAGATGATCATTTTTTTTTTCTATGCTAGTTTTTCTGTCTGTATGTGTGACTATGCTATATATATAAACTATAGTTTATTCACTTCCAGGCATACTTCATTAAAATTGACATATTCTAAAGATCCACTACTGAAGTGCTTGTTTTCATGCACCCTAGAAATAAAGTATTACCAAAGTATTTCTTTCATAACACCTGTTTTGGTTTTTAATTCTGAAACCTGATGCAACAAAAACTTCATGCAAAGTGCTTACACAATATCAAACAAGAAAGACTATTTACAGGAGTAGACATGTATATCTGATCTGTCTTGACTAATTGCACTCACCTTTTGTACATACCATTACATACATACGTACAGTGAGATAAATGTACACATATGTACTACAACTTGTTGATGTCAAATTCAATTTTTGTTATTACAGCTTTAATTATAGTTTACAATGTGGAGATCCAGTGGAGAACACAGAGTATGATCACTTGGAAGGCATCCAAAGACGTCATTCACATCCAACTTTTCCTGAACCAGAAGTTGCTATGATATTTAAGAAAACTGAAGGAGATCAAATCGATATGAATTTACTTGAAAGCACTTTACAACAAAACATTGATATAGTAAGTAAAGAAACATGCATTTTTGTTTTACACTTATTATAGCAGAACTTGAACTTCAAATAAACATTGAATGCAATTATACTCATACACAAGTTTGTCTTGATGTGCACACATGGAAGAGGAGTAATGAGAGTAATGGCATGGCATGGCATTACTAATTGTCTGTCAACATCAACTTTACATATTTGACTTACATTCTGCTTGCTTTTATGTTCCTAGGGTAAACCTTTCTTAGATTTTCTCATGTCCTGATGATAGCTTTAAATCACTAATTTTGATGAATATTTTTTGCCATTTTTGGTAAAGAGTGATATTTTTGACGAAAAACAACTTGCCTGATTACCGGTACATTGATATTTCATATATCTTGAGTAGAACTCAGTCAGATTTGTTCATTTTGTGATGATGAGTTTAATTTTTAGTGAATATTTAAAAATTATAATTTCAACTATTGTATACAGTGGAGATATATTACCAGACAGGCAGCTTGTTTATTTTTAGCGAATATGGGATGCACACTATTTTTTAAATGACACATAAAATCATCAGGGACATTTTGCCCTTGACATTTTTCACTTGCAAGTACCCAGTAACTTATACATATATGTTATGGTTTCAATGGCAACATTTTGGAAATGGATGTTAATGAAAACTTAATAGTTTAAGCTAATGCCACTTTAATACACTATATGTATGTTTAAATTTTTAATTTGATTCATGGCAGAGCTGGTGACTTTATGATTGGCATGGCAACAACCATATAAACTGCCATTGTTGTCATTTGCATTTCATTTATTCGTTATCTGCCTATGACCAAATAACTACAGACATGTTACAATTTTGATAGGCTGAACTTAAAAAAAGTATAGATAACATAATTGAGATGCATGTTCATTGCCAAAAAAATAACACTACCGGTATTGTGTGGCTGGATACCTTGTAAAGCTTAAAACCGTTATTAAATTTGCTGTCAGGTAAACACTTAGATACTTTCATGTTCTCCTGTGTTTAAGCTTTCAGGTTATGTGTATGTTGTTATACTTGTACATATAATAGCATGCTTAGTAACTATTATAGAATGTCTGAATCACAGATCATTTTTTACTTCTGTGTATGAAGCACACAATGGGAGTCTTTGCAGTTAGCCTGTCTGTATGTGTGTGTGTGTGTGCGTGTATGACCGTCTGTTCAACTATGGCCATGGTTCAACTGATACATGTATCTCAAGAACCATATGCTGGTTTTTGATGAAACTTGATGCATAGGTGCTCTGGGCTGATGCGCAGATTTGATTAGATTTTGGTTAAAATTCATGCTTATTAATTACCTAATTTGCATGATAATTGACTGATATTTAGCTGTTCCATGACTGTTCCACTAATATCTAAAGAACTACTCATTGGATTTTGATGAAACTTGGTACATAGATGCAGACCTGATTGGTTTTGAGTAGAAATCCCATGCATATTAAATACCTAATTTGCATAATGATTTGTCAATTTTCGAAGTACTAATCATCACATTACAATGAAACTTGGTACATACATGTAGATACTCTATGACTGTTCACAGACCTGATTAGTATTGGTTGAAAATCTGTGCAAAATAATTACCTTTTTTGGATAATGATGAGTCAATTTTCAACTTTTCCACTGAAATCTCAAGTACTATCGTGAAATTCCTTTTTGAGGCCGCAGCTTTAATAGAAGCCGCACCCCTAACTTGAGACATTGTTTCATGTTGAAATTGACAAGTTTTGATCCCAGGGAAAAGTCTGCAATATAAGCCGCACCCCAAACTTTCACAAACCAAACAGCCACCACATATTTCAGAAA